GAATGACAAATGATGAGTCGCCGAATTACTGAAGAAACTAAACGTTTAGTGGAGCGAACTCGTGCCAAGAAAAAAAAAATAGAGAAAGGCTAGCGTCGCAGGCGTCGATGTCGGCGAAACAGCAAGATCAGCGCTGGGGCAAGACTGACTCCGGACTGCCACGCGGAGCACCTTTCGTACCTCCGTGGTTTTCTGGAACATTCGGCGTAGAACGTTGGGCGCGTAAAAAATTTCATAACTCGATCAGACGAAAAGGTCATCGAACTTACGAGAACGTCAAGTTGAAAGAACAAATAAAAGAGGAGTCCGCTCCCTGGTATACCAAACCCGGAGCCTCCGCGAGCGAGAGCCAAGCGCGGTAACCATTCGGCCCCGCGCTCGCTGGGGAACGCGCGTGGCAATATCACTGATACATGTTACAAAACCTTTCCAGGACAAAAAAAAAAAAAGAAGTCACTTTAGCGATTGGAAAGGAGATCAGACCATGGCGCCCCAAGCGGTTAACCTTAGAACTACACGAATGGGGATATCGAATAACAATGACTCTGCGCTCGGCTGACGAAACCGAACGCGGAGTCAGCGTTTGGCTGGAGTTCGTGTTCTCTGGTGAGGGGGAGGAGGGGCTCGTTTGTTACCACTCCGGGCCTGCATGAGCAATGCAGCATGCACGGTGCCCAGCTCAGCACAAAAGCCCAAGTGGGTCAAGCTCGCATCCTCTGACGACTGCTTTCGGGGGAGATACGGCACTTCACGTCACTTCGCTAATTGTTAGCATTTTTATATTACACTGTGCCCCGCGCTCTATTAAAAAAAGAATGACATGAACATGCCCACAAGGCCTGTGGGCATTTGCACAGGCCTTTTTCTGGGTAGACACCGGGGTGCGGGGGTGGGCAACAAACGGGTCAGAGCGCCACGCCAATAGTGACATCGCTTAATAACACGTCCTGCGGCGCACCTTAGAGGCATCGCTTAAGTGCAATCCATATTCCCTATATGGGGAGTTCACTATAAATGAACTCGGGATACGGATATGAGTGAATTGATAACAAAGAGAACCCACATAATTGCCACGGCAGTGGTCGCACGTTTGCGTTCAGAAAGGCACTCAACGTTGGAGGGCGCTTTGTTGTCATTTTGAGAGGTCATCCAGCTCGTAGTTCGTTCTGTTCTCTGCTTATCAATGTTCGCTTACAGACAGTGTTCGCGGGAGCAATAAGTGACGGACTGACGAAAGAAAGAAAAGAAGCATAAGAAAACCTCGACGTTTTTTGTTTTTTTTTCATAGCGGGGTTCAATATACAACAGGAAAAACAAAAATGTCTTCTTTTAGTGTGTGCGTGTGTGTGTCCCCTTTTAATTTTTTTCTATTTGTTATTTTCGTGACACTCAAGCCTGTATTGTTGTCGTAGGTCGTTTATTGGTCTGCGTTGCGTTTCAGTGTGGCAATTTTTACTTCCGTAAGAGTACCCCTTTGGTTTGACAATATTTTGGGGGACACTCTAGGAAACAAAGGGCGCCTTTGGGAAAGAGGGAAAAACCTTCATTGTACAAACTTAAGGCTGAAATATGAGTCACAATTGACAAAAAAAGCGATGTTTTCACGAGCTCAAAGTCAAAGCTTTTCGGAGCTAGCAACAGGATTTGGTTACTCGAAAGAATGTTCACGTTAAATTGGCTCGTACCACGCTCACGCCACTTCATAGCGAAAAACTCGGAAAATGGCCGAATGTCAAAAATGTGTTTGAGGTAATGAGTACAAGATACTCAGAAATGTAATTAAAATAGAGTATAAAATACTCGCGATGAAAGTTATTGGGAACATACCACGATACTTAAAAAAGTATTTGAAATACAGTATCTTGAGTTGAGTATTTGAGATAGGCACAAGTCTGGCTGAAACGAAGTATAGGCGAAATAGATCTTTATTGAAGCACGGAGAAGTAAGCCGGAAGTTCGTTCTTTCTCTTGCTGGCTACTCCGCGGGGAAGGGTAAATTGGGGCAATATTGTCACGCGTTGACGCTACCAAGCAGCAAGGCACGCAACTACAGTACCTGTGGCCGTGCATTAGCTATTGACGTCACGAGCGCGATACGCATTGAGCTTCTCGCTGGCCGACTATGAAGCGAGGTGCAGAGAGCTCGCACTCACGTCATTTCGTTTCAGTGCCCCTTCCAGCTGAAACTAGAAGCCCCGCCTTCAGCGCGAGCTTTCTGCCCTCGCTAACACTAGTGTGAACGCGCAGGCACGCGCAAACAAAGCACTGCGGAAGCCAGCAAGCTCGCGATGACGGTGGAGCTTCTAGTCTCAGCTTAAAAGAGTCAACCGAATATAAACGCTTTACACACGCGCCAAATTACAGCCGCCATTGCTGACCTTCTCTTGTCTTACCGAGATGCCGACCAACTGAAACGGTAGTTGACGATCCTCTACAAAGGCCGATGCTTTAGAAAAGGACACAGTTGAATCTAATATGGCAATAACCTGGCCTGCTATGGTAATGATGAAGTGAAATAAACGAAATAAGAGGAAACAAAAACTGAAGGTCAGTTATGGCGGCGTCCATGCACAGCTGCCCTGTGCCCGGAGTACGTTGCACGACCACCGCGTTCTCTCGCCCGCGTCACGCGGTGCCACCACTGGCTGGATTTACATGGATGCAACCGTAGCGCATCGAGTCAAGATTTTACGACTTTGATTGGTAGCAGTTGGGTAGAAGAGGAAGAAGTAAAAAGACAAGCTGCGTGGGATTGGTCCCTGCTCGATTCGAAGCGCTACGATCGCATTCATGTAAACGTAGCCACTGCCCAGTTTGCTCGGCTAAGCAAGACAAGGTATTCGCCTCGAGATTGCTCGAGACTCGATCGACAAGGCTCATGTGGTGAAAAGAAGAACTTCGTTTTGTTTTACACTTACTTGGAGCAAAGCGAATGCTAAGCACGCGGGGCCGAAGCCATGGGAGAGGCCAATGCAGCGCTAGCGGACAGGAATCCATTGCTAAGAGCTCGTGCTTTGTACCCTTGCCCGTGCTCTGTGCCGTTAGTGTGGATGCTTTGTCTGCACCCGCATTGTGGACAGATGGAATCAACACGTGCCTCATAGGGAACCATGGATAAACAAAATCACGCTTCCACACAATTCACTCTGGGTCCTCGAGGCCAATAGCCCAGACGAAAAGATCACAGTAAAAAAAGCTTATGCATTACCTATGGCCATTTTTAGAGCGCAGCTCTTAGGCGCCCGTTTCCGGCTTGAGCGGCGTCGCCGTCGGCGTAACCAAGGTCGCCCCAAGGTCACGTGACCCCCCCAAGGTCACGTGACACCTCCCAAGGTCACGTAACCCCCCGAGGTCACGTGACCCCTTCCAAGGTCACTTCAAGGTCACGTGACCCCCAAGGCCACGTGACCCCCGAAATCACGTAACCCCCCCAAGGTCACGTGGCCCCCTCCCCGAGGTTACGTGACCCCCCTCCCCCCCTGAAGTCACGCGACCCCCCCCCCCCCGAGGTCACGTGACCCCCTCCCCCCGAGGTCAGGTGACCCCCCGGAGCATATTAAAGAATGAGGGGAGGAGAAGGAGAAAGAGGAGGAGTAATAGGGGTATAGCCTCCCCTCAGTACCCTTCCCTCCTCCTCCTCAAGAGCTGCGCTCCAATTCGGCGTTACAGGGAGTTGTAAACGGCTTTCACTTTTTGGTTCTTATTCTCAGCAACTATTGAATCTATTTGCGTCGTGGTTGTATTCGAAAGATAATAAAAAGTCTAATCGCTTCGCTAAATTATGTCTTTCGATTTTGCGTTCAATAATGTCTTATAAGGCCTCGAATTCTTACAAAAGAAGTAATTTTTTTAGTTTCCGGTCTTAAGTGTTCCAGAACTTAAATTAAAAGATATATACACAATGTACACAATGTAGTACCGCCTTGCAATGTAAAATGTGTTTGAAAATACATATCTGCTAATAGAATTCCTCGATGCTTTGTCGTTACAACGTTAATTAAGGAAGTCTGCGCTCCGGTGAAAACGAGAAGTCGTCTGCTAAGCACCATTTGTTTAGGCTCTACAAATTCGCGCCGCCATGCCGTAATCGTGCCGGCTGAGCTCCACGTGGCAGATGATCAACAGTCCCGTGCAGCACTGTATTACTCCGCCACGAGGAATTCAGTAAGTGCGGTGGCGTGGTTCACTCGTATTCGAGAGTCTATGATGTGCATTTTGTAGAGGTGTCGTTTTTCTGCTTCTGAGTACGACCGAGCTCTGGGATATGTATTGCATATCCTACAGACAACTTCAGTGCTGACAAAATCACGGCCGCGATCGTGTGACCTTGAAAAGTTCACTTTTTGCGCGAAATCTCGTACCAACAAAAGTATTCGGCAGATCTAGGCTCACGTGCCTGTGCCCTACCTTGTAGATATTACTCCTTTTCTTTTTCACATTATCTGGGGCCGAGGTGGAAGCTATAAGCACGAGCATGTTGCCCAGAACTATAGCGAGTACTGAAGTCACCGGATCTTGGGAAAGTAGAGCCATTGCCTTCCACGACTGCTAGCTGAACGCAAAGGGATGCTAACATACAGACGGCCAAAACCTCGCAAAGTGATTAGCTTATAAAGAAAATTTTATTGACACTGTACACTTTAAGACATGAAACGCACCGGGAAACGCGCAGACAATTAAATCATGTACGCTACAAAAATGCAGGGGCGGAAGTAGCAAACAAACATAACATAGCAAACCAAACATAGACGCTTATCGGAACTGGCCAACTTCCAGCTGTCGTAACATAGACGCAACACACTTACTTTTTACTCTCAGAACGTATCTAAATAGACATTTTATTGTTTTGGGAAGGACTGAATGTGCCAGTCTTGCCCATGAACAAACCGAGCCTCATCAGTTATTCATTGCGCTCTGAAGATGAAAGATAACAATCATTAAAGGTATATTTAGGCATTCATGCCATTAGCAATCTATTAATAAGTCCCAAATATACATGGTTACTCATTGGTCGTCGAGGCGGTGGCGAGCGTCAGCTCCTCTTTAGCCTGGCCAATCAGTCCAGGGTTCGCGAGCAAGTCGAGAGCCGTCAGCGCCATGACCCGGGCCACCTTCAGAGTTGGTTCTTGGGCGCCGGTGTCGCCCGCACCAGCGGAAAACTCACGGGTGTGGTTGCGCCCCTTCGCTGGAATCGCGAACACGGGGTGCACGGTAGGCAGTTGCTGAGACACGTTGCCCGTGTCCGTCGAAGCCCCGGTCCTCTTCGCCACTGCCGGGTCGGCGTCCTCGAAGACCATGCCTGCGTTGTAATCGGAGGTCGAATGACAATATGCCTATTGGCGGCGTAAGCGAACGCAGATGACGAACGCATGATGAAAGCATATGGAATGACTCAAGTATGCCCTCTGCTACTATTTGATTCGTTTGCACATGGCTACGATTCTGATTTTGTATTTATTGGGAACATGGCAGGGCCTAAGAAAACTTCTGAGGTTTATAAAAACAAATTGTATGTGCGTACGATGCGAGATACTCTCTGATGAAAATCATCGCATGCATGGAGATCTACTAAAAATACAAGGAGAAAAGCATCTGTTTAGACTCTTTAACAACGGCCCTAGCATAGCCCTAGCAACGGTTCGTTTGAAGCAGAGCGCCCTGTTTTGACGTCATCACTTACGGAGTCCATTCGAACCCCGCGTTGATATCCTTTAGGTGGCGCCACCTAACTTTGGCTAGGTAGCGTGAGCCGCCGCCCGATTAAAAGTGTTCAGCCGGATCCAACAGAGCAGAGCCGTATATGTAGAGAGTTTGGTCAATGGGAGGCGCGGGCAGAGCCAGGGCGTGCGCCATACTCGGAAAGAGGGCTTGGCATGCTCTCTTGACCAACCAGAAGCCGAAAAGAATCCCCTAGCGGTGGTAGCGAGAAACAGTTCTGATCGGAGGTCTATGTTCGTATATGGTTTTAATAAGGGCGTAAGAGTGAAGTATAGTAACTCTTCTTGGTTGAAAATAGGGTCACGTGTTGTTTTATCTTGATCATGCAGAAAGATGTAAGAAACGAATGCGCCGCTCAACTCTGTTTTGCGCGGACAGAGTGTGACCGCTCAGACGGCAGATTCCCGGCTCTCGGCGTTTGGCATACGAATTATGTCGATCGTTCCGCTAGTTGCACTTTTCCACCATCATTTTGGATGAGCGTGATTGAAACATCACGTGTACCATATTTTCAGCCATGGGGAGTTACTCCAATGCAGTTATCAGGTTTGTTTCTCGCGACCACCGCCAGTGTATTATTTCCGGCTTCTGGTTGGTCACATTCGAATTTCTGAAGGCGCCCTGGAACACGCCCAGCCCGCTTTCGGCCAATGGCGCCTCTCCATTTGTCTCCTATACTTCCCAACGAATGGCCAAACTCTCTACATATACGGCTCTGGGATCCACCAATCCGTCCATCAATCCGTTCATCTGTTCGTCCGTCTACAGTAGTCCCTCCGTCCATCTGTCCGTTCATACTGACAGGGTGGAGGGGGGCGGGGGCCCTGATAGGGATTCCTCCTTGGGAAGAGGGGAAAGCAAATTTCACTACGGCGGCGGTTGTCCGGCGCAGGGATGCCCTCGATCGTTGTCGACCCACTGGTGTCGCCCTTTCGTGCACCTTCGCGGGGTTGGGCTGGTTTCGGGCTTCTCGGAGTCCTTTCTCCCTGTCGGTCCTTCCTGGGTCGTTATTTTGGCGAGGCCCAGTTTTAGAGCGCAGCTCTTAGGGGCCCGTTTCCGGCTTGAGCGGCGTCGCCGTCGGCGTCGGCGTCGCCGTCGCCGTCGGCGTCGGCGTAACCGCGCGGTGCATCATGGGAAATGTCCCATAATGCACCGCGCGAGCCCCCCACCAAGGTCACGTGACCTCGTGGGGGGTCACGTGACCCCCCGAAGTCACGTGACTCCCCTGAGGTCACGTGGACCCCTCCTCGAGGTCACGTGACCCCCGCCGATGTCGCATGACCCCCCGATGACGTCATCGTCACTGATGACGTCACCGGCATCCACATCGTCATCGTCATCATCACTGATGACGTCACCGGCATCCACATCGTCATCGTCATCATCACTGATGACGTCACCGGCATCCACATCGTCATCGTCATCACTGATGACGTCACCGGCATCCGCATCGTCATCGTCATCCTCACTGATGACGTCACCGGCATCCACATCGTCATCGTCATCATCACTGATGACGTCACCGGCATCCGCATCGTCATCGTCATCATCACTGATGACGTCTTGCAATTCCAGCGGGTATAATAACTGTATCGGACGGCGGAGCTCTCCCCCACTGGGCAGCACAATCCTGCATGCTCGAACCTTGCCGTCCTTTCCTGGGAAAGTCTCTTTAACTCTGCAGAATTTCCACATCTGCCGTGAGAGTCGGTCGTCTTTGAGAAGGACGATGTCATCGGTTTGTAAACCACTTGAACTGTTGGGTTTGGTGATGTGAGCTGACCTCAGTTCTAGCAAATATTCAGATCTCCATCTTCTCCAAAATTGCTCTATGATAGTGCATCGATATTTCCACCGTCGCGCTAAGTGTCCAGAACTTGCTTCATCTTTTGCTGGTAAGTGATGTGGGGGAAGGGTGGTCAGTTTACGTCCCAATAAAAAGTGTGCTGGAGATAGAGCCTCTGGTTCTTTAGGGTTGTTATAAATGTACGTCACTGGACGGGAGTTGACTACAGCTTCTACCTCAGTGAGGACCGTGGCCAGTTCTTCGAAATTCAAACTACTACGGCCCAGAACCTTGCGTAGTGAGACTTTGACCGACCTCACTAGTCTCTCCCAAAAACCGCCCCACCATGCGGCTCTTTCTACAATTGTTTTCCACCTAATCCTGTGATTTGCAAAGTAGGTCTGCGCTTCCTCTCCTTGTATTGCTTCAAACATTTGTCTGATATCTTTAGCGGCTCGTTTGAATGTTGAGGCGTTATCTGAATAAATCGTTTTTGCGATGCCTCGGCGTGCAACGAAGCGTTTGAACGCCAACAAAAATGCTGTTGTCGATAGGTCACTCACAAGTTCGAGGTGCACGGCACGTGTTACGGCACAAGTGAAAAGTGCAATGTAAACCTTGCTACTTCCGTAGTGATGTCGACATAACAACGGTCCCGCAAAATCCACACCAGTAGTTTCGAATGGTTCGCATCTTGAAACTCTGTCGGCTGGTAGTGGAGCTACCGGCTCTGAGGCAGGTGCACAGCTTTGTCTTTGGCAAGTTAAACAGCGACGTATTACTTTCTGTATGACTTGTCTTGCCTTTATAATCCAGTAAGTTTCCCGTAGCTGCGTCATAGTGTCTTGAACTCCGGCGTGTAGCAGTCGACGATGTTCTTTCTCAATGAGAAGGGTAGTGAACCGGTGATTTGCAGGTAAAATTATTGGGTGTTTTACGCTTTCCTCGTTGTTACTAAATTGTAAACGACCACCAACTCTCACAATATCATCACTGTCCATAATTGGGTTGAACGACTTGATTTTTGATTTTTTGTCAACTTGCTGCTGATCTTTCAGGTGTACGATTTCCTTCGGGAAAGCCTGCAATTGTGTAGCCGCTATCCAGTATTTTTCTGCGTCTATGATTTCATCGCTTGTTAGCGCTCCCCTGCGTTGTCCTTGTTGTTTTATGTTGTTTACGAAGCGTTTAATCCAGGCCGTCACTCGAACCAACTTATTAAATGAACTGTAGTTCTCCAAGTTCATCAGATGAATTTCGTCGGGTATTGTGAGTTGAACAACAGTATCTTTCTTTTCTTCAGCCTTGTACTCTTCGCATTCTGGTCTTTCCTCAACTTGACTTGGCCAGGATGATTCCGAGCATTGAAGCCAGATGGGTCCATTCCACCATGTGTTGTTCTCAACAAGAGCACTTGGCATGAGTCCACGCGTTAAAAGATCTGCTGGGTTTTCTGAACCAGGACAATGTCTCCAGTTGATTGGTTCCGTCAGACCTTGGATCTCTGAGACGCGATTTGCAATAAACTGCTTCCACCGGTTTGCAGAACTACGAATCCAATAAAAGACGATCATGGAGTCAGTCCACAGATACACTGGGAGTCCTTCCATCTTCAACTTCTTTGTTAGATAATGTGCCAAACGAGCGCCAATTAATGCTCCCATAAGCTCTAGTCGCGGAAGGGTCAACCGCTTGAGGGGTGCGACTCTCGATTTCGCCATTACAATGGTCACACACTTTCTTCCCTCTTCCTCTTTCGATGCCACGTACGCTACAGCTCCGTACGCTTTTGTGCTAGCATCGCAGAAGACATGCAATGCCTTTTCTGTTTTGTCTTTGTTGAAGTCGCGAACGATGAGTCTTGGAACAGCGACGTCCTTCAAGGCAGTGAGGTCTGTACACCATTTGTCCCATGCTTCGTATAAGTCTGAAGGTAACACCTGATCCCACTCAACTCCTCGCTCCCAAAGTCGTTGAAATAGCATTTTTATGGTTGTCACGGTGGGAGCAAGAAAACCCATAGGGTCAAATATGCGAGCTGTTGCTTGAAGTACGAAGCGTTTGCTGTCTTCACGTGAGCACAGAAAGTCAATTAGAGGTTCTATGTCGAAATTGATGATGTCTGCTTGTGCTTCCCAACCAATGCCTAGAACCTTTGTTCGGCCAATTTGTTCGGTTAGTGGTACTTGGCCGGATCCTTCTTCCTTTAATTCTGATAACAACCTTGGTTCATTTGATTTCCACTTTCTAAGATGCATTCCCGCCTTTTTTAGTATCTTTGTTGCTTCTCTGCACAGTACCTGGGCTCCTTCCAAATCATCGGCGCCAGTTACCAGGTCGTCAACATACATGTGCTGTTTTAGAGTATTCGAGGTATCGGGAAATTCTTTGTTCATCAAGTCGAAAAGGTGTCTCAACGTTGCTGCCAGGAGAAACGGACTTGATGTTGCCCCAAATGGAACTCTGGTCATTCTCCATGTTGTTATAGGCGGAAGGTGATGTCCTTGCTGTGGAGTAGTTTCGTACCATAAAAAACGTAAGGCATCTCTGTCTTCCTCCGCCAACATCACCTGTAAAAAAGCCTTCTCGATGTCTGCTATTACGACGACATTGTGAGTACGAAACTCGATCAGCAGGTCTATTAATTCAGGATTTAAGTTCGTTCCACTGGATAAGGTGTCATTCAGTGAAAGTTCCCCTGCAGCGCTGGAGGACGCGTCGAATACCACCCGCAATTTTGTTGTCAGTCGTTCCTGTCGCACAACCACTTGGTGTGGCATGTAATATACAGGATTTCCGCTTTTTTCATTACTTTGAACCTTTTCTGCAAACCCATTGCCAAAATATTCCCGCATTGCTGTGTCGTAGTCTCTCATGAACGCTTTGTTTTTCATGAGGCGTCCAGTCAGTGATCGGAGTCTTCGTTCTGCGTTCTCTTTGTTGTCTTTGAGCATCTCAACTTTATCATTCCAAGGGAGAAAAACTTGGTATCGTCCGTCTTCATATTTTACGCTCTTTTTAAAGTCTTCAAATTGAGCAATTTCGTTGGTTGACGTTTCTTGTTCCTTAATTCCGATATGCTCCAGTTCCCAGAACGATCGCAATTGTGTTGATATCTCAGTTGCGTCAGCTGTCGTAACCTTCATCACTCCAGTAATTGATGAGTAGATAGCAGTAGATGATCTTGAGGACATGGGCCCTTGTAGAGTCCAGCCGAGGATGGTGTCGACGGCCATCAATCCTGTTTTCAGGCGTCTCACGCTTCCACTTACCACGTCCCAATAGTGGTCGGCTCCGATTAGTAGGCTGATTCCGTTTTCACATTCGTCGTTGTTGAGAGACGTATCAGCAAGCAGCATGTCTTCTGGTATGTCCAGCGTGACGTCTGGTGGTGTGTGAATGATGTCAGCACATATCTGTGGGACTTCTAGGGCTTCAATTCGAACGTCCTTTCTGTTGTATTGGTTGCGCAGCCATAGCTCTACTCTTCGACACTTTCTTGAAGCTGTTGCAGCGCCTTCTCCAAAGGTGAAGATCGTTAGGTCCTCTTCTCCTAAAACGTTCAGGTGAAGTTTCTCTGAGATGTCCCGTCTCACAAAGGTGCGTTGGCTTCCGCCATCAATGAGAAGCCGGACAAGCACACGGTTTTGTTCACCTTCTGCCCATGCTTTTGCCGTTTGTAGAAGGACTTGGCACGGCCCTCTGTTTTTGCTATTCGTTGCCTTTAGAGAGGACTGCAGCACTCTTTCGTTAGGGGCTTCCTCCTTACTTGTACTAGAATTTTCGTGCGGACCCTTGTTTCCTAGCGCGTTGTAGCTTGGATCGCACATTGCCGTGGCATGCCTTTTAGAACATTGTGCGCACTTTAGCCACCTTGCGCTTCTGCAATCCCTTGCACGGTGGTTTTGCTTCGTGCATCGAAAGCATCGATTGTTCCTTTTCAGCATTTCTTTTTTCTCTTCCAGTGGCATTGGTATAGAACAGTTGGCAGCTAGGTGGTCATAGGATCCACAGAACAAGCATTGTTTCTCTTCTTTCTGAGTTCCTGTCGCAAACATAGCTGCCGAAGGCGGGTATTGTGTCTGTCGGTCTCTTCCTCCAGGAGTAGCTCTATCCAAATTGGAAGTTGGTTTTCTTTGATTTCTATGCTGAGTCCGCTCTCGGCTTTCAATTTCCGTTTTCAGGAAGTCCAAGAATCGTTTTAGCTCGTTGCCTTCGTTTGTTGATACTGCTGTTGTCTTTCGATGATATTCCAGTTCGAGATCTGATGGCACGGCTTTTCGCAGAACCGTTAGGAGGATTGTTCCGTATGTGGTTGAACATACACCAAGTGCCTCAAGACTACGAACTCCAGACTCAACTTCGTCGTATAATAACCTGAGCTTCTCGACGTCCTGAGAGTTGCTTATTGTTCTTACAGCCAGCAACCGTGCAAGGTGTTCTTCTATGATGAGTTCTTTTTTCCCGAATCTTGCTTTCAGAATGTCCAGTGCAACTGCGTAATTTTCAGATGTTAGTTGAAAACCGTCAATTGCCGCAGCAGCTTTGCTTGTAAGGTAGCTCTTCAAGTATTTAAACTTGTCAATTGCCGAGAGAGACACATTTTTGTGGATCGTAGCGTCAAACTGGTCCCAGAAGCCCTGCCATGACCGAATATCTCCAGAAAATTTGGCGATTTCTAATTTCGGAAGCTTTGCTGTTGCGTGTGTCCGACTTGCATAGAGCTGTTGTTCCGATCTACCAACTTGTGTCGAGGTCTCCGACGTTCTGTTGATCATTCGCTCTTGCTCTCTGAGACTCTGAAGGATCTTTGTTTTCGTTGCGCTAATTCTTTCGGTGTAGCCTTCAGCGGTTTCCATCTCCTGTTCGAGCGTGTTGTCAGTGATGGCTCTCTCAATCTGGTCGTTAATTTCCTTCAGTGCAGCTTCTTTGATTGTTAAGATGTTAAGTTTTTCTTCCAGCTCACCGATGGGCTTTGGTTCCATGGATAGAAGAGCGACGGTTTCGGTTATAATTCTGGTAGCCGATGACCGAACCACTGCTCTTCTTCTTTTGAGTTGATCGATGGCTGCTGGCGTTAGAGGATCCATTTCCGTTGCGGTAAGTACCTTAGACGATCGTTAGGCCTTACGATGGATGTTCGAAGTATTTTCTTGTTTGACCTTGGCTCAGCTATTCCCGGGTTTCGGCACCATGATTTTGCGTTACATTAGGGGAACAACTGCGTCGAGTTAGTTGAACAAGAAAGGATTTATATACAATATTTACATGATGGTTCCGTTTGCTTTTGGAGCGCCGTAGCTGTCATCGTCCCTTCTTTTTCGTCGTATATCTCCTTTTCCTCTTCTTCTATAGATGATAATTTTCAACACCGGCATCCACATCGTCATCGTCATCATCACTGATGACGTCACCGGCATCCACATCGTCATCGTCATCATCACTGATGACGTCACCGGCATCCACATCGTCATCGTCATCATCACTGATGACGTCACCGACATCCGCATTGTCATCGTCATCATCACTGATGACGTCATCAGTGACGTCACTGATGTCGTCACCGGCATCCGCATCGTCATCGTCATCATCACTGATGACGTCATCAGCGACGTCACTGATGACGTCACCGACATTCGCATCGTCATCGTCATCATCACTGGTGAAGTCATCAGTGACGTCACTAATGACGTCATCGGTACCCGCATCGTCATCGTCACTGATGACGTCATCAGTGACGTCAGTGATGACATCATCGGCATTGGGGGTCACGTGACCCCCAAGGTAACGTGACCCCCCTTGGTTAGTTTAACCCCCCCCCAGTGCCCTTCCCTCCTCCTCCTCAAGAGCTGCGCTCTAATTCGGTGTTACAGGGAGTTGTAAGCGGCTTTCATTTTTTTCTTGGTTTTCAGTTCCCAATTGGCTTTTTGGTGAAATTTCCACTTGATCCCAGGATCCAATTCGTTTATATCGAATTAGGCTTAAATCAGTTGGGCCTACACTGGCGGTACCGATCGAGGCACTTTATTTTTCAAATCTTTTTACAAAGTTTACAAAGCCTCACCCTACAAAATGTCCGTTCATCCGTCCATAATCCGTCGTACGGCCTTGCAATCTTGGACATGTAGGTTTCAGAGGTTGGCAGGTGGTAGTTGGGGTACAGTTGGTGATCGTTGAACACAATGAAAAACAACAATCAAACAGCCACGATAAAAAAAAATAAAAAAAAGACGGAACGCAGCGCGTGTTTGTTTCGTGTTCCTTTTTTTTTCTGTCCCTTTGACCTCACTTTTTTTTATCGTGTTCATACGTTGTCGAATTCCTTTTTTAATCCTTCCACCGTCTGTTTTCCTGTTGTCCACCGCAGACGCAGGTCTTATCACCGTGTGATGAACTTACAGCAGCTCGCCCGCAGCCCGCAGTCTCGTATACATAATACAAAAGGCACGATACTCCCTGCATACAAGACGAACGAATTGTCTACGGACAGGCCTGAAGCATCTTCAAAGCATGATTACTTCACGCGTATGCGGAGCAGAAGTTCGTCTGCTTCTTTTGCAGGGGTTGGGGTGACGTCAGAACGCCGAGCTATGATTGGCTGTGAATGAAGGGTAGTGGGTAGACCTCGAGGGCAGTTTGCTTTGAGGTCTACCCACTATCCTTCAATAAGAGCCAATCAGAGTTCAGCGTTCTGACGTCACCACAACCCCTGCAAAAGAAGCAGACGAACTTGCGCTCCGCATACGGTATACTTCGAACATGCCTGCAGACAGTCTCTGCTTAATCTATCTGAAAGTATATACCGTCATTCAAGGAAAAAGCACGCCTCAGAGAATCTCCGCAGACTGTCGTTGGTACGACATGTATTAGCAATATTACCAAAACAGAAGTGTTTTTTTTTTATTTTATTTTTTTTAGGCTTAGATAATTTTGTATAGTCGTGGTCAGCGCTCACCAAGAGCCTCAGCGTGTTTCTGGAAGACGTCGATGATGGTGCCATTGTTAATCATGTGCTTGTACTTGATTCCCTTGGCGATGTCCACCGAGCATCCCGTGGCTTCAGCGGCGCCCCTAAAGCACGCTTCGACCCTGGAGACCAGCAGGTTCAGTTCATCCGTGTTCGGGGCCCGGACCTGGTACCTGAGTTCGCTCTCCTCCGGAATGACATTCGGGTACTTGCCGGCGTTCAGCATCACCCCTGTAAACATAGCGAGCGCAGTCTGTCTCTCTTCGCATTGAGGAATTAGCTGCACCGCGAAGCATCTGGTAGGGACATCGGTGGGGAAGCCGCCCTGCCTCATGGCACTCTTGCAATTCACGTTAGGGGGCGCTTCGGCTAAGGCACGAGAAAACTCACATTATATATTCTCCGCTTATATACTGCACGAACAGTTCACAAACTGTCAAAACGCTGTTGTTGTTGTTTTTTTTTTCTTTGCATTTTATTGTGGCACGTTTTGGGAGCAACCGCACAGCAGGGGATGCGGTCCATTGTTGTACGGAACGGCGTAGGCAAGGAACGAAAGAACGCCATCATTCCATCCTGCATCGGTGGAACTAGAACGGGAACTTGTTACACTTTACGAGGAAACGGCCGTTCCTTTCTCTTGGCTCTTCCATGCTCTGTGTTACCAGATCCTCTCGCTCCGAATCTGCGACCGGGCACTCTATGGTTCCGTCGTCGAACTGCCAAACTTTGTGAGTATAAAGGAGGCTACGTAAACCCCCCCCCCCCCCCCCCCCCCAAAAAAAAAAAAAAAAAAAAAAAAGCTCGCTTAGTTTAAAGCAAAACGAAAGCGCGTACTAGAGCTGCTCGGGTGCCATACCTTGTACTTTCCACTCAGGCTTCATCTGCTGCCTAAGCACGGAGACGTTCATGTAAGAAGTGACGGCTGCGTCCAAGGCATTGAGGCCTTCCCAGGGAGACGCGGCCGCGTGAGCAGTCCGTCCACGGAACCGGATCGTTAGCTGCGAAGACATTCAAACACAGTTAGGATAGGGCACTCGTCTTCGCACTGGTGTTGGTGAAGGGATCGAGCTTGGAACGATCTAAATATCCGTTATCACCTCAATAACCGTAGTAAAAAGAAAGTGAGGCTCCTCATAGAGAATTGCTAATCCCTTTTATGTAGAGAATTAAGTTATATGCAGATTCATTTTAGATAACACAGATGTTATCTTATCAACACGCACACGTTTCAAACGCCAAAAGCATCACCTCTTACTCCGACAACCAAATTTTGTAAGAACTATTCGGCACGGAGTATGGACAATGCGTTAGATTTCCTTTTTTTCTTGCACATGACGTCATTTCCGATGAGCTCGAGAGAAAAGGGGAAGAAGGAGCTCCCCTTTTATCAGGATCCTCCTTTGTGCCTCCAAGATTTGCATAGGCGTCGCCATTCTCCTCCCAGAAGATTATAGAAGATTAACCTGTCACTCAAAATTCTTACAAAAGCAGCTTCCCTCTCTTCATTTTACATGGTGCTCAAAAGTATGCGATGTGACGTCAGTGCGAGGAGCCCGTACTTCCCAATGAATGGCCAAACTCTCTCAATATACGACTCTAATGGATGTTAACGGCTTTACCCTTTAGATTGGGCGGCAGCTTGCGCCACCTAACCTAGAAGTGAAAAACCAATAGCACAATTTCTTTCCTACTCCAGTTTGCCTACCCTCTGCGATTTTGTAACTATCGCCAGGCAGTGTGGGATATCACCAGGGGTCTAGGAAAACTCGTCACAAGCCCATTCGTCACAGGTCAACTAGCCATAGGTAAACTGGTTCGGTAAGTCAACCCTTAACAGGGCTTCTCGTACAAGGAATTCTTGTTATGCGGGAATACTCGACACACGGAATACTCAAATTAGACTTCATTTTGTATACAATGTAACGAGTACTTTTTTCTCTCGCAAAAGAAAACTCATTTCACTTTGGTTTCTTCATAGGAAAAGGGAGGTTTTTCTTAAAGGGAGGCTCGTGATGATCAAAAGCTCGACAAGCATTAGGGTAGGCCTAGGGCCCGTTTTCAGTAGCGGCAACGACGACGATAGCCGAACCATAACATTGTCTGGAACTTGTTCGATGTGGGAAAAGGGCAAGATTTCAACATGGAGTCAGGCAGGCAAAAAGCCCTTTATTGACTTCTTCCTCTTCCCTCGTGTCGGCCAAACCGATACGAGAGGTACCTCTGCACACCGCGTCTTTTGCTGGACAACTTGCCCGAGAGTGTGTTGAGTGTCCGCACCAAGTGCAGGATCGTTCTGAATTTTCGGCGTCGTGCTGGTGGCGTTTTGACAAAGTCCTATCCCAAGCGACCGCAGCCTTCTGTGGCACTGTAAATGATCTGCTAGTGCGAACCTGGTGTACTGACTCTGGGCTTTCTGTGGGACGTAGCTCTTTCTGTTGTATTCGGACTGTTTCATGTTGACGGGCGATCATGAGCGCCTTCATCAAGTCTAACGACGAGTCCAACTGTAGTTTTTCTGAAACTTTCTTGTCCTGCAGGCCTACTACCAAGCGGTCTCTGATTAGTTCTTCTCTGAGTTCGCCGAAGTTGCACGTGTCGGCTAACGTGTGCAGGGCCGTTGAAAATTCCTCCACTGATTCACTCTCCCCTTGTGTTCGGGTGTTGAATCGTGCTCTTTCATAGATTATGTTGCGTTTTGGAAAAAAGTAGGCTTCGTAGTGGGCTAGCACGACATCGAACTTCTTGGTGTTTTCTGTACTTAGCTTAAAAGTGTTGACGATATCTTCTGCTTGAGTGCCCATCAAATAGACGAGCGTGTCAACTTGTCTTTCTTCGGCTGCATCTTGCAGTCCAGAGGCTGTGCGGTACCGAAGAAAACGTTTCTTCCATGAGGGCCATTCGTTAGGAGTGGCGAAGGAAAAAGGCTCAGGCGGATCTATCAGGAACGATGCCATGGCGTACCTAGTGTCCGATTTCGTACCTTGAGGTTGACCCGAGATATTGCCCGTAGCAGCTGCTTTAGCGGTCGCTTCGGCGTCTGAAGAGGAGCCGGTTGCTTCGCGAGCTGACGGGTTAAAACAGGTAGTATTCCGATCCCACTTCTGACACCATGTTCGATGTGGGAAAAGGGCAAGCTTTCAACATGGAGTCAGGCACGCAAAAAGCCCTTTATTGACTTCTTCCTCTTCCCTCGTGTCGGCCAACCCGATACGACAGGTGAGTTACCTCACACAGAACTCAGCGCGTATCCTGCACTTTGTCAACCCCAGCCCCTGGCTATGATCAACATTGACGGCATGTGGTAAAAAACGAACACGTGTTTAATAGGTCATTAACGTCAGGGATTCGTTCTAACGGTATTTGTGCCAAGTACTAAAATTGTTGCATCACGCTTTTAAAGGGGCGGTGCAACTATATTTGCTTGGAATGTTTTTCACTGTACACGAGTTTACTGACACTAGTCACTAGTGGGACCCAAGTACAATCGCACGTAACGCCATTGACCAAGAAATTCCTTTGTTGCGGTATAATTTCGAGGACAAAAGCGAGCGTTTTCAATCAATATCTCCTTCGCAAAACTCGATGACGTCGCTGAGCGGTCGCGGTACCGCCTCGATATTTGAATTCGACTCATAGATTGGACTCGAGCATTGCGTGGCACTCGATTTGGGCTCGTGATAATCGATAGCTCGAGAAGCATTCGGGCAGTGGCCCGTGTCCAACCGCTGCAATGACGACAATAGCCGAACCTGGCCGAACCATAATAACGTCTGGAACTCGGCGCGTGGCTATGATCAACATTGGCGGCATATAATCGGCTTCAGATCATGAAGAAATAAAAGCTGCTCTTTTTTTTTTCTGCGATTTTTGTAGCCTGGGGTGAAAAACGAACGGGTGTTTCACAGGTCATTCTTGGAGTTTTCGTAGACCGCTTTTCACCCTCCGCTAAGACCTCCGCAACGAAGAAGCCACTACTGAACCTGCGCGCCGATGGCCTTGAATGTAGAGCTCCTGGTATCGTAGCGGGTTGCGAAGAGCGTTCCGGGATGGCGAAGACGATCTACGAAGGCCCCTCTTGTAACGTCAGGGATACCGGTAATTGCGGAAAGGCGATTTCTTGAGCTAACCCAGCTAACTATATTTTCGGAATCACCGGTCTTTACCCTTTCCGGGGTATGCTATTTAGTAGGAACTTTTAGAAAAACTTCACTATACTACCGTTACTGTACTACCGTTACCGTACTGCCGTTACCGTACTGCGGTTACCGTGGACCAGCCTGAAAACAGGAGTCGCCGTAATGTCCGTGGTTCTCATAGACCTTTTGCCGAATTACCCAAGCATCAAATAGAATGCTGCAAACATAGGTATACAAGCGCTCCGCGTGCTGGCCTTTTCTTTAGCTCTAACTGTTCAAAAGCAAAAATTTGAAACAAAGTACACTTCGCACGCACGTTCCACGGGAGCTTTATTTTGGTTCATTTACTTCGAATATTTTTTATAAAAATGGCGAGTACATGCAGCACGTGTACCTACGTTTCCGACATTCTCTTCGATGCTTGGGTAATTTAGCGAAAGGTCTATTCCGTGTGCTAGGTTCCTCTTTCAACTCGTCGCCATCCTGCATTCGAAGCACGGACCTCGAACTGACTCGGGTTCGAATATGTATGCAGGCTGTCGTTTGTATATGATGTGTAAGCAGTGTGACTCCAAATTTAGAAAATCAGAAAACACATTAAAAAAATGCAAAATGGTCTTTATGGTTACTATACTCTGTTTCACCTTATGATGTACCGCAGGAAAGGCTATAAGCGCGAGCGTCTTGCTCTAGGGCACATCTCGGCGGCACAAGCTCTCGTGCATTAAGCGCAGCTGCCAAAGCTATGATCTCGCGCGTTTAGCCTTCGCTGCGGTACAACATAAGGTGAAACGGAGTATAAGAGGGGTCAAGTGTTATGACTCTGAGGGGTAGCGTAGTCAAAGGCTCTAGAAACCACGATAAAGCTTACAAGCTGCATGGCCGTGAAAGACGTTTTAAGGATGTCTTGGCGCGCAGGATGAGCCACGAGTGCCGCGTCCACGTCCTTGAAGGCGTCCTTTTGCAGGAGCATCTCCTTGCCGCCACAGTTCTCCTCGCCAGGGGTCCCTATCACAAGGACCTGCAACAACGTCCAAGCTAATCTGAGATAGCACGGCGTGGAGCTGGGCTAATTAGTTGTACATATGTAAGTGAACAAAAAAAAATAGAGCCAAAGACGGAAGTAGGACGAGTACACACGCACAGCGTTGTGTGTGTGAACTAATTCCACTCGTCTTACGTATTTTGAGCTGTTTTTTCCACTTCAATAATCTGAGTTATTCTGTCTGTCGGCGCAAACACGAGAGCACATTAGACAGTCTGTCTCTTTGGTGCAACCCGAAGGTACTCTGAATGCCATAGCATTTAATATCCCCTGTAAGAACACCTCCTAAATAAGAGAGCCAATAAATGCTCAATTTTCCTGCGTCACTAAAAAAGGCCACTGGAGGCCACAGATCGGAGACGACTGGGGCGTTAGCGTTCGGCAGGGCCTCGGGCTCTCACGGATTGGACACGAGTTCGGACCAATCTGTGTTCTACCAATCTGTAGCACACGATGACCTTCTTCAGTGACGTAGCAAAATGCGCTTTATTACCAGGAGGTGTGACCTGGTGGCGTGGTGGTGACCTAACGTCACGCGGTGAGGTGACGTCATGTTCCGTGACATGACGCACAGTGCCCCGTGGCAACATGGTGGCACATGACGCATCAGTGGCCTTGACGCTGATGACGTCGCGGTGAACCTTCCAAAGCGCTGATGACGTCGTCATCAGCGTCAGGTCACCACCGAGGCTACATATGCCACAGCCGCGAGAGCACTCGGAGCTTTTAAACGTTTACGAAAGAATTACGCGTAAAGGAATGAACACGGATGTGCTGCCCGTGTTCTGTCCTTTATGGGTAATTCTTTCGTAAAAGTGTATTCAATGCCATAGCGCTCACACACAAAAACAAAAAAGTGTAGAGATAATTGTGTGTTGTGTAGTCAACGAGATATTAGTCAGCACCACTGGGTGTCTAATGTCTCCTGTGTAGACGAGAAATTTAGCCGGTGCAGTGCTACTACTAGCCTCTTTCGTGTGCACCACGCATTAGTGGTGCACACTGTAACGACGAGCAAAAACATACGCGGAGTCAACATTTTGTGCTACGTTGTAACGTCGTCGAGACTGACGTGGCTTCCACAATGCTAGAGATCCGCACTACTGCGAGGGCAGGTCTGGGCAGAGATACTCTAAAAATATACGCCGGACTATAGAAATACTGAGATACGAATATCTTTTAAGGCCAAGATATAGGTACTGAGAGGCATAACTTTTAAGGCCAAGATGTAGATACCGAGATACATATATCTTTTAGGTAACGGCATAGGTCTGAGATTCTTCTGCGAAAACGGCAAAATAGTATACCGGAATACAGAGAAATGAGGGAAGGCTTCTTTTTATCTTTCAGCAATAATGGTAAGAGCGGAGACTGTAGTTTACAGCGTACGCTTGTGTTCCTCCTTTGCTGTCGTTTTATGCACCTCACCTCACATCGAACTATTCATGGATTCACAACTACCTTCCGGAATGCTCCTAAAAAAAACATAATCTCCAACAGTGACCCACAGATGTACTGAATGCCAACGACTCTGCATGCCATGCTTTACAAAATAAGTCTGTCCAAAGTGAACCTTGTTTTGCTTCGAAGGTATTTCTCAAAACGGTGGCATGAAGTGAATCTCCAACAGTGACCCACAGATGTACTGAATGCCAACGACTGCATGCCATGCTTTACAAAATAAGTCTGTCCAAAGTGAACCTTGTTTTGCTTCGAAGGTATTTCTCAAAACGGTGGTATGAAGTGCTTCTGAGTCACCCAAGGTTGGGAGATCGGACGAAGTCCAGTCTGCGCGGAGCCTATGCTGTTGCAACAAAGGGGAAGAGTCTTCAAGGGACACTGTCCCGGTCTTTATGGTCGCCAACGTTTTTATTTGTACATGACACATGAGAGCCCAACTACCCAGGACACAATTTGCGGCTCGAAATTCGTTTTCTTTCCTCCCGAAAACCGCCGATCGAGAACTAGCCGGCTTGAGTCGTGCTCACTCTCTTCTCCGTGGTCACGAACCGTTTTCTATGGTTTAGACACAGCCACCAAAGATAGCAAAGTGGTGGGTCATCGAAAGCATACACTCAACACAAAAAAAAAAGAAATAGGCAGGGACTATGACACCCATTTTTGGTGGGTTCTAAAAAACTGCAAATACTTCGACTGAAAAAAAAAAAGTAGCAAAGCCACGTGACTTTTGAAACCGTTCTTCTCTATACTTTTCATTTTGGGTTTCATTTCGGAGCAGTGGCGTTCTTTTTTTAGTTTTTTGTTTAGTTTATTAAACACATTAGTGACGCAGTTGCAAAATATTGATATGGCAGTCATCTGACACCATGTTAAATCGCCTGGCAAAAGATACAAAAAAGAAAATTGGGGGGGGGGGGGGGGGTGTCAATGTGTCTTTAAAAGCTATCTACGGTTCATGATTGGTGGTTCCGTCCCCTCCTCTCCTTTCTAACGCTCCCTCAGCTTAATTAAGTGGAAAGTGCTGAGGGCTTCGTCGGAGGAGCTTATTCTGCTATTTTTTGTCAATATTCGACAACAAATGTGGCGAGACTGATAACCCTGGCGGAGTATCGCGATACATTCAGTACCCATCGTAAGTTTATTTCCATACTAAAGTACAAATACATTTTCCAAATGTATTTCAATACAGAGATACAGATATACTCAAAATTAGATCTAAGATACTATTGCGATACATTTGTGTCGCGATACTGCCCAGCCCTGTGAAAGCGTACGTGCATTTGACTTAATTAGGGTGCCTTCATGTGCGCTTTGCATTGAGGCACCCTCATTCGCTGGCGCCCGCGTAAGTAGTTTTTACAGCTATTGAGCACCACAAAAGCTACGATAGCCATGACAACGTAGCTCCGTTTAAAATAACTCTAATTCTTCACAACTCCTATTTTTGTGCGTGTGTGTGTATGTGTGTGCGTGCGTGCATGTTTGTGTGCGTGCGTGTGTTTCTTGGGGATCGGACAAAAGCTCACCAATTTTTCGGCGGACAACTCACCCGGCGTAAAATGGGATGGGCTAAGCTTTTGGTGGGACGGGGATACGTCAACAGTTGTTCAAGGACTCTATTATTCCCACCGGTAACTAATCTGTTCTTGCTGCTATGAAACGAGCATAAGATCTAAAAAAAAAAAAGTTATATGCAGAGACAACACCCAAGCACATGTGAGTACACAACAGCCATTTTGTATGAACGCATATTTTTATTAGACCGGGGACTGCACTTTCTAGCAGAGTATGTTTAGTCATAATAATTTTTTCACAATGCGAGTATCATAGGTCTGGATATTTCTGTTCGAAAATTTGTTGTATTAACGATCCCTCTTTTGATTCTTCCTTCTACATATGTAGTGATTTTAAACCCTCCGCAAGACATACATACGTTTTCATTGATTCAGCTATTGTTTGGGGCAAATCTCCTCATACTCGTGATAATGTAAAATAGAAATAATTATATCCAAGTGAGTGTCTGCGGGCTCACGAGTAAAAGCGGCGAGCATTTGTCCAAGTCTGTAAAAAATTCGGTGATCTTCTGTTTGGCGAGCTTCTGTCCGGTAAGCTTCTGTCAACGTTACTAGAACAGTCAGTTGGGAAACTCGCCGTCGAAACGTGGTTCGCTGGCGTCCACCGAGACCGAGCTAAATACGACAACAGCGACACTCTTTATCATTTGTCTGTACTATGGTCACCTCGAGCTTTTAGAAAGCCTGTTTTTGCGTAAAAACAAACGGAAAAGACTCTTTTTGTATGAAATTTATTGGAGTTTAGTACAAAATGATGGGCGCGTTATGTTTTTAAAATCTTTATTTTGCAGGGTTTTGCGGGACAATTAATATTGTTTTTATACAGCCATGCCTCAGCGCTCCTTTCAGGTAGCGCGTCCCGACCTAGGTGCCTTTTAACTTCGGTAGTAAGGCACGGCGCGTCCGCTGGGGAGACGGGGGTGGCACCCCCGTAACCTCTTTCGCTGTATCCGTTTCGGTTCCAAAATGGCCGATTAAAGCCAAAATAGAAGTAACGTACAGTTCCTCGAGTGGCCGCTGCGGCAGGAATGGCGGCGTTGTGTTCGTCATTAGCTCGGTTTTCGGGGACAGATCGGGGCCACTCTTTCAGATAAGTCTCTATGGCAGTTTCCCAACTGAGTGTTTCAGTAACGTTGGCTTCTGTCAAGGATCCGTTTTGTTTTGTTTCGATAAACCGCTGCCTTTTGAAGCATTAGGTCTGTTCAATTCGCCTGAACAGGCTGAACTACTTCTGCAGTGCAGGAACTGTTGCATTCGATTCAACCGGACGTTGCACTGCCGCTGCACTGGCGCGTTCGATTCATCCCAGTTCCGAACGAGTTCAGACCCAGTTCCTCAAAATCTTGCACCTGCTCCGGAGTCAGTTCAGCGTCCGCGCAGAAGCAGACGAAAAAAGCAGACGGCGATAGTAAACGATCAGCGACTGGTCGTCTGCTATCGCCTCCTCGTCCGTCTCTGGTCGCGGTGCCGTTTTCGCAGCTCTTGCTCAAATGTCTGCGATGTTTAACAATAGACAGTTTTAGTGGACCGTACGGTATAGCTTTGCGTATTACACATTAAGCCTATTCGCACAGTTCATCGCCGACGGACGAACAACTCTAAAAGAAATCGCCTAAGTTCTCGCTATGCACTGGACATCAGTAGGTCATGAATTTCATTCCGCGATAGCATTGATAAAAGGTGCCGTTTCCACGGGACGAATGACGGAGGCTCCGAGATCGAATTTGGCTACGCACTCGTACTCGTAGCCTCTGTACCCCGCCGGAAAGCGCGCTTGACGACGCAGCTGTGGCTTGGTTTAATTTGAAATAAAATGATTGGACACATTTTCATTTTCAATATTTCTTTCCGGGAGCATGGTTGCGCTATAAGCTCGCGGAATAAAACGGCTCTATCAAATTTAACCAAAATCATGCGCGGTGTTTACTCAAAAACGTTACG